ACGTCCTGGTCGAGTACGTCCTTTCTAGGATGGAGATCGCCTTGGGATCCAAATGGCAGATTTCAAGCCCCTTAGTAAGGGCCTCATATGCTTCATGCATTGGAAGCCTCGCGACTACATCGAGGCGTTTTCTCGCAATGGCATCCAGCCTCAGAGCGGACGGCTCCATGCCTATGACTGACCCTGAAGTTGAGCCTGGCATGGATGCTGAGGCTAACTTTGAGGGTGTTTTTGATAACGCCGGTAGGCAGTTGTACGAAATACTTGAGAGCCATACCAAGCAGCTCGTTGAAGACCCCGACGTATATGTTCGGCGAGCATTCCTGGCTTCAGTCCCGGAGCTGTGCGTTTTCTTTCAGGAGAGTTCCAACGATGTGTTGTTGACTCATTTAATCACCTACTTAAATGATCGGGACTGGACACTAAAATGTGCGTTTTTTGACGCCATCGTCGGTATTGCAACCTTTGTTGGAAGCAAGAGTTTGGAAGAGTTCATGTTGCCACTCATGATTCAGGCTTTGACAGATACTGAAGAGTATGTGGTTCAGGCTGCGCTTCATTCCCTAGCGCAGCTGGCGGGCCTCGGGCTTTTATCCAGACCCAAGCTCTGGGAGCTTGTAGATCTTATTAGTAGGTTTTCGATGCATCCGAACATCTGGATACGCGAATCGGCAGCAGAGTTCATTGCACTATCAACAAAGTACCTGGATCCAGCCGATGTCCGATGCATCTTGATGCCTGTGGTCAAACCATATCTGAAGGTGGATCTTATATGGGACTTCTCCGAGCTGAACTTGCTGGATTCCCTTAAGAGACCTATTTCGCGGCCCGTGTTTGACCAAGCAGTGACATGGGCTATGACCTCAGACAGAGGCATCTTTTGGAAGGCCGCCCAACAGGCCAGGTCCTTGCCTTCGAGACTCCTCGGCACAAGTTCATCCAAGGACCTCCTGGGCTCTACAACAGGGAAAACAGCGCACAACGAAGAAGATGAGCAGTGGTTAATGAAGCTTAGGAATTTGGGCCTGAAGTCTGAGGACGAACCGAAATTGCTTGCACTGCGGCAATTCATCTACCGTCTAAGCAAGATCAAAAGCCGTGATGGTTTTGCTGGAAATAACGTCTCGCAGAACGGAATCGTGTCTTTGAAAGCCATTGGTGTCACGCCACAGACAGTGTTCTTTGATGAGACGCCACTCCGTGATCCACAGGCCTTTGCCGAGCTTGTGTCCCAAACAGAGCCTTACACTATCGCTGATGCCTTATTGGACGCATCGATGACCATTGATGACTTGGCGAGCAAAAGGAAACGAGCTTCGCTGAACAATCATAGACAAAGAGTTCAGAGCGTTGGGCCACGCCCAAGGCCATCATCCAGGGTATTGTCGCCTCTTGGCGCTGGACGATCAAGCTCGATGGACACCCGAGGATTGCAATATAATACTACAAGCCAGGGATCAAACGGAGACGGGGATTCTACACCTGATTCAAGACGAGGAACTCGACTTCTATCAAATGCGCTCAGTCTTTTAGATCGGAAAGATAGCAATAAATCCATTCCGGAAACTGGCATGACTGTAACAGATGCCTTTGGAGAGGTTGAAGGACCATTTGCCCAAGGACAGCCCGCTCAGCCGCATACCATGGAATCAAGAGAAGCCCCTCTACCTGTGAAGAAGGTATCCAAGCACAGTTACGAGGGAACCGATCCCAACATCCAGAGAATGTTGGATAATATGTACCTCGATAACTTCCCACGCGACGTGGTTCAATTCGGGCCGTTTGTACAGCCGATATCGCGAACGAAGGCAAACCATGTCAGTGCCCAACAAGGAGCTAGCCTTTGGAAGCCCGAAGGCAAGGTTGTGGCCACGTTCTCAGAGCATACGGGGCCTATTACTCGAGTTGTAGCTTCACCTGACCATCTGTTTTTCATCACCGGTGGTCATGATGGCGCTGTCAAGGTCTGGGACTCGGCGCGGTTGGAGCGCAATATATCCCATCGCTCTCGCCAGACGTACAAACACGCAGAAGGCGCACGTATTGTAGCTTTGTGTTTTATTGAAAACACGCACTGTTTTGTCAGTTGTGCTTCCGATGGAGCCGTCCATGTGGTGAAGGTTGATACGGTACCCGCAGGTGGTGTCCTTAGATATGGAAAACTACGAATGCTACGGGAGTACCGACTCCCCGGCGAAGAATATGTCACATGGTGTGAGCACTTTCGACAGGATTCGAACTCGACTCTGCTCCTTGCGACGAATCGATCGAGAATTCTGGGTCTGGATCTTCGAACCATGTCACTCCTGTATGTTCTCGAGAATCCCGTCCACCATGGAACGCCAACTTGCTTCTGCGTGGATAAGAAACGGAATTGGCTTTGCTTAGGAACTTCTCATGGCGTGGTTTCTCTATGGGATCTGCGATTCAGAATGAGGCTCAGGGCGTGGGGGGTTCCAGGGAAAGGACCCATCTACCGAATGTCTATTCACCCAACTAAAGGCCGAGGGAAGTGGGTCTGTGTGTCTGGAGGCACCGGACAGGGTGAGGTTACTGTTTGGGATCTGGAGCGCACAACATGCAGAGAAGTCTACCGTACTGGTAGCAGTAGCAAGGACGGGCCAGCAGTGTATGAGGCATGGGATGTCGATGACGACAAATCGGAAGGCATGCTGAGGCGATTCGCTACAAGTATTGAGAGCAATGAGGTCACCAACTCCGACAAAGGAGTTCGGACAATGGTTGTGGGTGTTGGCGCAAGCGAGGACTCAAGGGATATACGTCATGCCTACATCGTTACCGGTGGCTCTGATCGACGACTCAGGTTTTGGAACATCCCTCGTCTGGAGAGTTCTTGCATATACAGCGGGCTCAGCCAAGATGAGCCGAAGCCGACATACACAACGACGAATCCCGTGGCAGGTGTGACCGTCACTACAGAGCGGTTTTCCAGAAACTCGTCGGCTGCTCCGAATTCCTCGAAGAATCACAAATCGTCGACGGCAGGACGACCGCCCAGGTCAACGGTCATATCTTCTCAGCAACAGCAACTCTTGCAGTCGCATCTGGATTTGATCCTGGATGTGGTTATTTTGGAATACCCTTATACAATGAGTGTCTCGGTTGATCGATCTGGAGTTGTGTTTGTCTTTCAATAGATCTTTGGAGTGATCGGATAGATTTGAATAATAGAGATCCTGCAGCTATTGCTACCTTAGTTGTTATTCCTCTGAGTAGAGAAACATGGGGCAAACGATCTGTCGTCAGTGGATTTCTTAACTTAGAAATAGTAAACAGATAATTCTTGAGTTTGCTCGTAGACACCATTTGTTATCGTTAAGCTGAGGCCCTCCTAGATGAGGACCTCGCGAAATGTGGCGCGGAAAACAGTGAGTGGCGCATGATCGCCCCACAAAAATTCTCAGATCCCAGAAGCTTGAAGCTTTCCGGTTTGAGAATGCAATTCATTGTGGAAGAAACAGCCAAGCCCGAGTATTTGTCCAGATCTATATCATTTAACCAAGGGCAGCATTGATGCAACGATCGAATCGCGAACCCTAGAATTCCCGTCGAGACCCATCAATCGACCTAAAGCGAGGCGTCGCGTGCCCACGTGCAGCGATCGAGGTAACGACATCCCAAGATGAGGCTCACGACAGACCTTATTCGGGACTCCCTTTCCTACCTCAACCCATTGAAAGAGCGAGAGCTCGATCTCCGAGGTGCGTTTGAAAAGAGCAGATGCTACACTATTTGATCTTGTGCAGAGCAGAGTTGATCCAAAATCGTCTTTTGAACGTTAACAGGACACCGAATTCCCGCCATCGAGAATCTGGGTGTCGCCGGCGTGAGTATCCCCCAACTTTCGAGCGGAAACCGGAGCTTGAACCGGGCCAATTCACTTTGGGATATCTTGCTGACTTTCGACTTTTGACTAGGCTCATGATGCGATCGATTTCACCGACAATGATATCCAAGTGCTGGGGAATTTCCCACTCTCGCCGCGTACCTCGACTCTTCTGCTGGCACGCAACCGAGTGGTGACTATCCAGAACGCGCTGGCCACATCTATACCGAACCTGAAGAATCTCGTTTTGTCCTCGAACAACTTGGCAGAACTTGCGGACTTGGATCCCCTGGGCAAGTTTTCGCACTTGACGCACCTGGTTCTTGCAGATAACCCTGTTGCGAAGAAGGAGGTGAGTGCGCTATTCATTATCTAGGACGGCGATTCTATGCCGTACTATTCCCAACTTCTTGTCTAACCTTACGCGTTGAAGAATTATCGGTACTGGGTTCTTTGGCTATGCCCTACTGTCCGGTTCCTTGATTATGTCAAGGTAAAGCAAGCTGAGCGAGAGAGGGGGACCGAGCTCTTTGGAACTCTAGAGGAACCGACACCACTAGCAGTCGAGGTATATTCCCCCAATCTCTATCCCTTTTTGGTGTCACTTCTGACATATGAATGCTGCACAGATTATGGGCCAAAAGTCTACCGCGACGGCCATTTCAGTAAACGGATCGGCGGCGCCATCGAAACTGTCAAGGATGAAGCTCACGGACGCAGAGAAGAAGAGACTTCAGGAGAGGATTCGGAACGCCACAACCTTGGAAGAGATCACCGCTCTTTCGAAGGAGCTCAACGAGGGAAGGCTACCCTCAGGTATTCAGGCCGATGCTATGGAAGAATAGATCAAGGAGCCTCGGAGTTTATGTCATCACATTTCCAGTACGGTATTAGGGGCGGAACAAGTATGAGTGACTTGGTTTACGGTTCTTTAGGACATGGTTGTTTTTACATTGGCTTCTCAGAGTACATAACCACTTTGATGCACGGGGGTCTGTCTCCTTTTGGTCTAGACACTGGAAATGGAGTCGGCCAGTTGTGACGGTGGATTAGTTGGTGAATAATGAAGAAAAAATTTAACGCCTGCGCACTACGTTCACGCCTTTTTAGAAGTATTACGCTGCAATCTAATGACGAAGGCCCCATGACCATCCTATCCTGTCATTTGAACGTCCGCGTCATGTTTCGACCCATGCGCTTGCCTCATTTCTAGCTCCAGTTGGTCGTTTGGGCTCCCATCAGCTTTGTTGGCAGCCTTGTGGGCCGAAGGGGTCCCCGTCTTTCCATTGGGGGTATTGCCGTTTGTGGTGGCGGCCGGGGACTGGTTGGAGGCGGCCTGGCTCTCATCAGTCTTGGTTTCACCTCGCAGACGGGCCTGGGTTTCACTGGCCGCTGCCTTGACTGCCTTGTATGGCACGGTCTTTGGGACGACGTCCTCGAGAAACTCGAGGTGGTCCTGACGTGCTACTGCGTTGGCTTTGCGAGCTGTTAGCACTTGGCTTTTCGTATGTGAGGTTGGGGGCCAACACGTACCGACATCCTTATACTGGATGTTTCGCCGGGGTTTGCGCTCCAGTTTTGCCTGTGTATGCGACTCATCCGCAAGGTGCTGGATGAACATTTCCTGAAATTGCAGGTCAGCAATGTGAGCCCCTTGGGGGGTGAGATGAGCATTGGGGAAGAAACTTGCAGCAGCGCAGGTGATGATGAAGGCGGCATTGTTGGAGCACATGTTAATATCGGAGTCTTGTGAAATGATTTTTTTCACTCTTGACACTATGAAAGGGTAGTCTGGTTAAACACATGTTTGCCGCTGTGGTGAATGTCTGGGGGGACTCACGAGGCAGCTGAGTTTGCCCGGTGGGCTCTTTTTTGGGAGGGATGGCAGTTGTGTTGTAAGGCATTTTGAAGGAGCTCTTTCAGTCGAGTTGTATTTTAATTGCAAAATGCTTGGTATACCAAAGCGTTTCGTTGGGATGAATTGGACGCGTAGGAGGTCCTTAAAACTTGAGCCGAGGCGAGAATAGCCGTCGAATAAAATAGTTGAGATGATGTCGAGGTCTATAGGCGTGCTACTTAACGCGTCTGCGATGGAAGCGCTGTGGAAGATGGTGTGGCTGAGCTCAGCACCACTGCATGCGGTATGGGGCCTCGGGGGAACTGACGCAGTGTGTTGCGCCACAGATCTGGCACTATCGATTACCATGGTAGGATAATCTATTTACGGCTGGACAGCTTTCATAAGCTCCAAACTTAACAGCAACGAGGAGCAGCCCGCCGCTCATCGATTGAATCCGCGAACCCGAGTACAAGATATTGCAGGCATTGCGACCATGATCTGCCGGCCAGCATCATGACTTCCCAATCAGCGCCCCTCTCAAGCAGGGCCTACTTGGACAGCCGGCCCTCCTTCAGCCACCGTCTCTCGTCCGTTGTGAATCGCGCCGAATCGGGAGAGCCTGAAGAAGACCACAGACCAGCCGAAGTACACTTGGAGGAGGAGATCTCAGAGATCAAGCGATATGAGGTAGGTGGTTATCATTGGCGCTTCCTTGTGGAACGACCAGTTACTGTACTTTAGTCAAGTTACTGACAGAGAGCTAGGACTTCTCGACAATAGGTATGCATCGACGAACGAATTCATCGCACATAATCATCACATGAAATACTAACAGAAGTGGGAAAGATTGGGTACAGGATGCAGCGAGAGAACAAGCCCGACGAAAAGTGCGCCAGAGACAAAGCGCGGGACTCCGAGCGCGAGGCTCGGTGGGATGGAGGTATAAGTTATGGGAGCTCTACGACGCAGCACAAGGTTGGGTCGTGGTCACCTTGGTTGGAATAGCGATTGGTTTTAATGCGGCCCTTTTGAGTATCATTACAGAGTGGCTGTCCGACATCAAGTTGGGATACTGCTCCACTGCCTTCTATCTCAACGAGAACTTCTGTTGCTGGGGCGAGGAAAACGGTGAGTCCGGATTGCGTCATCCGTCGGTGAATGCCGCTGATGTCTGAATTTCCTAGGATGCGAAGAGTGGAAGCATTGGACTGGTTTCGCGCCTTTCAACTACTTCATCTATGTGATCTTTGGAGTAAGGAGCTCGATCATAAACCGATGAGGACGCATGGACTAATTGTCTCCAACATAGACTCTTTTCGCTTATGTTGCCTCTATCCTGGTCAAATACTATGCGCCGTACGCCGCAGGCTCTGGTATATCCGAGATCAAATGTATCATTGCTGGGTTTGTCATGAAGGGATTCCTGGGAGGTTGGACGCTCATCATCAAGTCCATCTGCTTGCCCCTGGCCATTGCCTCTGGCCTGTCCGTCGGCAAGGAGGGCCCAACTGTGCACTATGCCGTGTGCACAGGAAACGTCATCTCCCGTCTCTTTAGGAAATACCGTAGCAATGCATCCAAAACTCGGGAAATCCTGAGCGCAAGTGCTGCCGCCGGCGTTGCCGTTGCTTTTGGTAGCCCTATCGGAGGTGTGCTGTTCTCTCTCGAAGAGATGTCCAGCTATTTCCCCCTCAAAACCATGTGGCGAAGCTACTTTTGCGCCCTGGTTGCGACGGCCGCTTTATCAACTATGAACCCCTTCCGCACCGGTCAGTTGGTCATGTTCCAGGTCCAATACGATCGAGACTGGCACTTCTTTGAGATTGTCTTTTATATTGTCCTCGGGATATTTGGCGGATTATACGGAGCCTTCGTCATGAAATGGAATCTCCGTGTCCAGTCTTTCCGAAAGAAATACCTAAAGGAATTCGCTGTGGGTGAGGCAACGTTGCTTACTTTGGGCACGGCAATTATTGCGTATCCAAACGCCTTCCTTCGGATCGACATGACCGAGGGCATGGAAATCTTGTTCTTGGAGTGTGAAGGTACCAAAGACTACGCAGGCCTATGCGACGCTGACAAGCGTCTCAAAAACATCGTGCTCTTGGTTTTGGCCACGGTGATTCGAATTTTCCTCATCATCATTTGCTATGGATGCAAGGTGCCTGCTGGAATCTTCGTGCCCTCCATGGCTGTTGGTGCATCTTTTGGCCGTCTTGTCGGGATCATTGTCCAGGCCATTCACGAAGCCCATCCAACCAGCGCGTTTTTCGCGGCGTGTAAACCTGACGAGCCTTGCATCACGCCGGGCACATATGCATTCCTGGGGGCCGCTGCAGCTCTGAGTGGTATCATGCACATCACAGTGACTGTGGTTGTCATCATGTTCGAGCTGACTGGTGCCCTCACCTACATCTTACCCACAATGATCGTTGTCGGTGTCACAAAGATTGTTGGAGAAATGTTTGGCAAGGGCGGCATCGCAGACCGGATGATCTGGTTTAGTGGGTTCCCCTTTTTAGACAACAAGGAGGAGCACAACTTTGGTGTGTCCGTGTCACAGGCCATGCGGACGGAAGTCGTGTCTCTGCCGGTTCACGGGTTGACTGTCCGTGAAGTCGAGCAAATACTTGGCGATGAAACCTACCAGGGCTTTCCAATTGTCGAGGACAGGGAATCACGCATCCTTGTCGGGTTCATTGGGCGCACCGAACTTCGTTACGCAATTGACAAAGTTCGGCGTGAACGAACAATTAACCCTGACGCGAAATGCGTGTTTACACCACCGCCCGAGAACTTGGGCGTGCCTCTTGTATCTACGGTGACGGTGAATGTCGAGTCAATGTCGACGACTCTTGAATTTAGCCGATACATCGATGCTACACCGGTCACAGTTCATCCTCGTTTGCCATTGGAGACGGTGATGGAGCTGTTCCGCAAGATCGGCCCCCGTGTCATCCTCATCGAGTACCATGGCAAACTAACCGGCCTGGTCACGGTGAAAGATTGCCTCAAGTATCAGTTCCAGGCCGAGGCGGCGGAGAACCCTAAGGAAGATCACCACATCCTCGAGAGCCAGGAACAGTTATGGGTCTTGTTCAAGCGCGTCGGCTATTGGGTATCGGAGAAGGTCGAAAACATGTCGGGCGGAAGGATCAAGCTGGCCGGAGACTGGCAGGGCTCGCGCCCTGTGCGGAACTCACATATTCTTGACGGAGATGAGGATGATATAGACGAAGGATTGGAGATGGAACCCCGTCGTTAACGAAGCAATTAGCACACATTAGATCGTCCACACAAATCGTGGATCTTGTTTATTTATTTTCAGGGATTGTAAAACACATTTTGGGTCAAATTCTCATATTCTTGCAATCTATGTTACTGACCGGCGTGAAACTATATTGTAGGGGTGGTATATACAACGTGGTACTTTGTGATGCGCGGGAAGTAATGCGCCACGCATCACCAAACTCTATTGGCCAAAATAAGGTTTCCCTGCTTTCATCTCTAAAATCCGCTTTGGGACACAATCTATCTATTCACGACCTGCGTCGGTTGTTTATCTCACCCAAGTCAACGACGTCTTCATCTACAACCTCGTCCTTGTAGATACCAGGAGGCGCGGTGTCCTCCTCAGGTTCCGATTGACCCTCCTCCTGCTGGACTAAGATTTCATTCTCCGCGGTGCCATCTGCATCCTTTGTCTCGTCCTTGCGGCCGATGATGACATTCCCGGCCACGAGGAGAGCCGCGCCGGCCCACCACATTGGCGGCAATGACTCTGAGAAAATGACGAGGCCAAGGAAGGCAGTGAGCATGAAGTTGGTGGAGGTGTTCATGATGGACACCTGAGTGGTTGATGTGCCTCGAGCCAAGGCGGTGGTGAAGAGAGACCACATCTGGGGAAGATTGTGAGATGCCATACACTCGGAGGGGGAATGGCGATGGTGGGGGAACACTTACGACGCCGTTGAAAGTCAAGTTGAGCGCGAAGAATATCTGAGATTGATTGGTGAGCAAGGGATGCTTTTCCTCATGGCAGCGCTTTGACTTGGAGAACACTTGGGTTTACTGACTCCTCGAACGATAATCTCTACTATTCTCTCTGCTGAGGAAAGGCCAAGCCCGCTGGCGATTGCATTTGACAGCTTGGTCGTCAAGTCGGTTGTTGTTCTATCATCAAATGTCATCAGCACATCAATGGCTCACGAGTCCCAGAGCGAACTTTTCCTTAGAATTTCACAACGCAGGAAGGGAAACAGAAGGCGAATCAACGCCCATGAGGATGGGAGAGGGCATACAGCTTGGCAAACACGCCGTTGAAGGCGGCACAGGCGCCACTGGCAACGGCAAAGAACATCCACTGGCTGCGCACGCTCCAGGAAGCGATGCCGCCGCCCGTTAGGCTGTCGGATCTGGCCATTTCGGTAGGAAGAGGATGGACCTGATCCTTAGATGGCTGAGGACGACGTTGACGAAGCATGGCTTCTGAGTCCCTGGCGGTTGCGATCCCCTGTGTCATGTGGGAGGACTGGCGGGTGGGACTGATTAATGGATACCAAGAGCCAAGCCGAGTCAGTGGTGGGTGGCTGAGTTACGTGGACAGACCCCTGTTTTGGCGGGCGATAACGTCGATCTAACCCACGTGTAAACGAACGAACAATGAGGTGTGTTGCGGGCGATTGAATGGCGTGTGTAGTAATTGGTGATGATGGCATGCAATATAAAAATGAATTGGGATTGGTCTTTAGTGTACCAATTTTAGGTAGGTACTTCGGGAAGGATGAGGCGATAACCTTAATTTGCACGGGAACTCGCAGCAAGCAAGCGATAGCATGTAATAACGTTAAAAACTATCAGGCATATTCTTTCCAGTCTTTGATAATAAGTGATCTCTCTCCCGCATAATCCCAGACGGTGTAGATCTGTGTGTTTCATTGTCCCAACGCATTGAACTGCGAACCCAATACCAAAACGCCTTCAATCATGCAATCGGGCTCTGGTTTAAACCCGTCTCATATATATATAAAAAAAGCAAGAAGAAAACAATCGTCGTCTTGAAAA